TATTAATTACTTTTCTATTTTATTTTCATTATTTTCAACACATTCATTATTTATTATTTTCATAGTAATAATTAGCTTGGTGCAGATGGAGCTAAGAACATTGGAATGAGCTTGGAGAAGTGCCAAAACATAAGATATTTGAATCTGGATCTTAGGTAATTTAACTAACTTTCAATTTATTTAGTTTGTTTTAATTAATACATTTGTGAAATTGAAACTTAAAGCAAATGGGTTTGGAGAATTAATTGATTGATTCACAGCTCATAAATTGTTTTTTGATTTTTTTGTTTAATTTTTTTTGTGCATCTAAATTTATTTGTTTACGAATTGAAACAATTATTCAAAATAATTGCATCAAAATAAATAAATAAGCACTTTTTAATATGTTTAGCAAAATCATTCATTATTAACCCATTTATTAATTACTTTTCTATTTTATTTTCATTATTTTCAACACATTCATTATTTATTACTTTCATAGTAATAATTAGCTTGGTGCAGATGGAGCTAAGAACATTGGAATGAGCTTGGAGAAGTGCCAAAACATAACATCTTTGAATCTGGATCTCTAGTAATTTAACTAACTATCAATTTATTTAGTTTGTTTTAATTAATACATTTGTGAAATTGAAACTTAAAACAAATGGGTTTGGAGAATTAATTGATTGATTCACAGCTCATAAATTGTTTTTTGATTTTTTTGTTTAATTTTTTTTGTGCATCTAAATTTATTTGTTTACGATTTGAAACAATTATTCCAATTAATTGCATCAAAATAAATAAATAAGCACTTTATAATATATTTAGCAAAATCATTCATTATTAACCCATTTATTAATTACTTTTCTATTTTATTTTCATTATTTTCAACACATTCATTATTTATTATTTTCATAGTAATAATTAGCTTGGTGCAGATGGAGCTAAGAACATTGGAATGAGCTTGGAGAAGTGCCAAAACATAAGATATTTGAATCTGGATCTTAGGTAATTTAACTAACTTTCAATTTATTTAGTTTGTTTTAATTAATACATTTGTGAAATTGAAACTTAAAGCAAATGGGTTTGGAGAATTAATTGATTGATTCACAGCTCATAAATTGTTTTTTGATTTTTTTGTTTAATTTTTTTTGTGCATCTAAATTTATTTGTTTACGAATTGAAACAATTATTCAAATTAATTGCATCAAAATAAATAAATAAGCACTTTTTAATATGTTTAGCAAAATCATTCATTATTAATTAATTAACAATTTTCATTTTTCTATTTTAGTTTAATTAAAGAATATTTATATATTTTATAGATTTGATGATTTCGAACACAAATTCAAAATTAAAATTGACAATTGAAAAAAAAATACAAAAAATAAGTATATAATAATATATTTATCTGTAAATAAATATTGATCAATAAATTTTTAAGTATCCATTAATAAGTATTTTTTATATATGAATTTCATGTTCTAAATGTAATTAATCTTATAAAACTGATATATAAATAACAAATGAAATTATTATTATAATGCATAAATACATATATATTAAAATTCATAAAAATTTTTTTTCATTTAAATTAAATTTATCAAAAACTCCGATTTGCATTTTTATAGAATATTTAGAGAACATTTTATAATAAAAAATAAGATAAGCATTTTAAAATTTATGATACCACATTAAAAAAAAATTACATCAATTCTTGATATGAAATAAGCTTATAAAAAGCCAAATTCAACATTAACGGCTTTTAAATTCATTAATTTACTCTAAATATTATTAAATAAAAAAATCAAATTTGTATCCTCTGAATGAATTAATGATAATTTAAAAAACATTTATTTTATGAATTTAAAAAATATAAAATGAAAAAAAAATGATCATAAGATAAATTTAAAATTTGACAAAAAAAGAAAAAATAAACATTAAAACCACTAAAGTTAAAATAAAAAGTAAAACTTGATTTCTCGCTAAGGGTTTTATTTTAATCATGGCATCTAATTAATCATGATAAATAAAAAAAGGATAGAAATATGATTGATGGATCATATTTAAGATTAAAATATAACTGGCATATAAAAGTTTGGCATTTATATAATTTAATAACATGTAATATAACACTAAAAGTTTCAAATTATTTGATCGTTTTTGGAGAAACCAGAGGGTTTGCTTATGAGGATTTAATTTATTTAAGTAAATTTAATTTTTTTATTATTTATGAATAATTTATTTATTTACTTACAAAAATATGAATGATATTTATAAATATAAAATCAATAATAAATTCTATTTATCTATCTATCTATATTTTAGGTTAAAAACACTTTTTCAAAATATTATATAATAAAATATATAATGCTGTTCAAACATTTTATATTAATTCATTCATCCTTTTTTCACCAGTTGTTTATCATTAGAAATCAAAGACAACTAATCTTTTTGATTTACGACACTTGCTTAGTAATTTGAATATTTATGATTCATTCATTGAGCTAAAAATTTTAAAATAAATTTGTGTAAATTTCAAAATAAATATCAAAATAGAATAAACTTTTAAATTTAAAATTATTTTTTAAATAAATAAATAAAATAATATTAGTGGAATAAAAAAATAAAATAAATAAAAGCTGTCAAATAAATTCAATGAGCTTTATTGTTTTTAATTAGTTTTTATAATTAAAAATATCACAATCCAAAACAAATAAACTGTTTTTACTCAAGGTTAAGTGTCAAATTTGAGAGATTAATGCAATTTGCTAAAGCAGAACCTAAGCCTGATGCACCTTCATCACCAATTTGATTCCAACTTTTTAAATATTGAAGAAAAAATATATCATTAAATAGTTAATTAGAAGGAAAAAATGAAGAAAAAATATGAAATAATAAGATTATTTAATTAATAATAAAACTCAAAGTTGAAAATAAAATGATGAGCTAAATTAACAAAGAAAGAACAAAAAAAAGCAAGCACAATAAAAAGAAAAAGAAAAAAGAGCTTTATTGTTTTTAATTAGTTTTTATAATTTAAAATATCACAATCCAAAACAAATAAACTGTTTTTACTCAAGGTTAAGTGTCAAATTTGAGAGATTAATGCAATTTGCTAAAGCAGAACCTAAGCCTGATGCACCTTAATCTCCAATTTAATTTTCACTTTTTAAATATTGAAGAAAAAATATATCATTAAAAAGTTAATTAGAAGGAAAAAATGAAGAAAAAATATGAAATAATAAGATTAATTAATTAATAATCAAAGCAAAAGTTGAAAATAAAATGTTGAGCTAAATTAACAAAGAAAGAACAAAAAAAAGCAAGCACAATAAAAAGAAAAAAGAGCTTTATTGTTTTTAATTAGTTTTTATAATTAAAAATATCACAATCCAAAACAAATAAACTGTTTTTACTCAAGGTTAAGTGTCAAATTTGAGAGATTAATGCAATTTGCTAAAGCAGAACCTAAGCCTAATGCACCCATTGCACCAATTTAATCAATAAAAATAATATTACCCTTTTAATCATAGCAAAACTCGAAATGCTAAATCATTTAAAGAGGCAAAAATGTAATTTGAATCTTTAAAGGGTTTAGCGCAGATGATTAGATTCTATGTAATGGGGTCTATGAATCTGCTTCTTGGGTTGCTGAGGAAGATAATGAATACCATTAAATAGTAAATAAAACACAAAAATAAATCAATAAAAATAATACTACCTTCCTAATCATAGCAAAACTTGAAATGCTAAATCATTTAAAGAGGCAAACATGTAATTTGAATCTTTAAAGGGTTCAGCGCAGATGATTAGATCCCATGTAATGGGGTCTATGAATCTGCTTCTTGGGTTGCTGAGTAAGATAATGAGCGCCATTATATACTAAATAAAACACAAAAATAAATCAATAAAAATAATATTACCTTCCTAAACATAGCAAAAGTGGAAATGCTAAATCATTTTAAGAGGCAAAAATGTAATTTGAATCTTTAAAGGGTTTAGCGCAGATAATTAGATTCCATGTAATGGGATCTATGACTCTGCTTCTTGGGTTGCTGAAGAAGACAATGAATGCCATTATACACTAAATAAAACACAATAATAATAAAATATAAATACCCCTAAAACAACTATAAAATATTTTTTACTTTCTTAATCATATTAAAACTTGAAATGCTCAATCATGTAAATAGGAAATAAAGTAATTTGAATCTTTACATGATTAAGCGCAGATGATTAGATTCCTTGAAATGGGGTCTAAGATTCTGCTTCTTGGGTTGATGATTAAGAAAATGAATGCGATCATATATTAAATAAACAAACATGAAAAATAATATATAAAATAAAATATATATATATATAAAAATTAATACATAAAACTTATTATACAATCACATAAATTAAGATTTATTCTGAGTGCATATATATGTGCGAGTATTTCTATTCTATTCTATTCTATTGCACCAATTTAATTTCTACTTTTTAAATATTGAAGAAAAAATATATCATTAAATAGTTAATTAGAAGGAAAAAATGAAGAAATAATATGAAATAATAAGATTAATTGATTAATAATAAAAGCAAAAGCTGAAAATAAAATGATGAGCTAAATTAACAAAGAAAGAACAAAAAAAAGCAAGCACAATAAAAAGAAAAAGAAAAAAGAGCTTTATTGTTTTTAATTAGTTTTTATAATTTAAAATATCACAATCCAAAACAAATAAACTGTTTTTACGTAAGGACAAGTGTCAAATTTGAGAGATTTATGCAATTTGCTAAAGCAAAACCTAAGCCTGATGCACCTTCATCACCAATTTAATTGTAACTTTTTAAATATTGAAGAAAAAATATATCATTAAATAGTTAATTAGAAGGAAAAAATGAAGAAAAAATATGAAATGATAAGATTAATTAATTAATAATAAAACTAAAAGTTGAAAATAAAATGATGAGCTAAATTAACAATGAAAGAACAAAAAAAAGCAAGCACAATAAAAAAAAAGAAAAAAGAGCTTTATTGTTTTTAATTAGTTTTTATAATTTAAAATATCACAATTCAAAACAAATAAACTGTTTTTACCCAAGTTTAAGTGTCAAATTTGAGAGATTAATGCAATTTGCTAAAGCAGAACCTAAGCCTGATGCACCTTCATCACCAATTTAATTGTAACTTTTTAAATATTGAAGAAAAAATATATCATTAAATAGTGAATTAGAAGGAAAAAATGAAGAAAAAATATGAAATAATAAGATTAATTAATTAATAATAAAACTCAAAGTTGAAAATAAAATGATGAGCTAAATTAACAAAGAAAGAACAAAAAAAAAGCAAGCACAATAAAAAGAAAAAGAAAAAAGAGATTTATTGTTTTTAATTAGTTTTTATAATTAAAAATATCACAATCCAAAACAAATAAATTGTTTTTACCAAAGGTTAAGTGTCAAATTTGAGAGATTAATGCAATTTGCTAAAGCAGAACCTAAGCCTGATGCACCTTCATCACCAATTTAATTGTAACTTTTTAAATATTGAAGAAAAAATATATCATTAAATAGTGAATTAGAAGGAAAAAATGAAGAAAAAATATGAAATAATAAGATTAATTAATTAATAATAAAACTCAAAGTTGAAAATAAAATGATGAGCTAAATTAACAAAGAAAGAACAAAAAAAAGCAATCACAATAAAAAGAAAAAGAAAAAAGAGCTTTATTGTTTTTAATTAGTTTTTATAATTTAAAATATCACAATCCAAAACAAATAAACAGTTTTTACGTAAGGTCAAGTGTCAAATTTGAGAGATTAATGCAATTTGCTAAAGCAGAACCTAAGCCTGATGCACCTTCATCACCAATTTAATTTCCACTTTTTAAATGAAGAAAAAATATATCCTTAAATAGTTAATTAGTAGGAAAAAATGAAGAAAAAATATGAAATAATAAGATTAATTAATTAATAATAAAACTCAAAGTTGAAAATAAAATGATGAGCTAAATTAACAAAGAAAGAACAAAAAAAAGCAAGCACAATAAAAAGAAAAAGAAAAAAGAGCTTTATTGTTTTTAATTAGTTTTTATAATTTAAAATATCACAATCCAAAACAAATAAACTGTTTTTACCTAAGTTTAAGTGTCAAATTTGAGAGATTAATGCAATTTGCTAAAGCAGAACCTAAGCCTGATGCACCTTCATCACCAATTTAATTTTCACTTTTTAAATATTGAAGAAAAAATATATCATTAAATAGTTAATTAGAAGGAAAAAATGAAGAAAAAATATGAAATAATAAGATTAATTAATTAATAATAAAACTAAAAGTTGAAAATAAAATGATGAGCTAAATTAACAAAGAAAGAACAAAAAAAAGCAAGCACAATAAAAAAAAAAAAAAAAGAGCTTTATTGTTTTTAATTAGTTTTTATAATTAAAAATATCACAATCCAAAACAAATAAACAGTTTTTACGTAAGGTCAAGTGTCAAATTTGAGAGATTAATGCAATTTGCTAAAGCAGAACCTAAGCCTGATGCACCTTCATCACCAATTTAATTTCCACTTTTTAAATGAAGAAAAAATATATCATTAAATAGTTAATTAGAAGGAAAAAATGAAGAAAAAATATGAAATAATAAGATTAATTAATTAATAATAAAACTCAAAGTTGAAAATAAAATGATGAGCTAAATTAACAAAGAAAGAACAAAAAAAAGCAAGCACAATAAAAAGAAAAAGAAAAAAGAGCTTTATTGTTTTTAATTAGTTTTTATAATTTAAAATATCACAATCCAAAACAAATAAACAGTTTTTACGTAAGGCCAAGTGTCAAATTTGAGAGATTAATGCAATTTGCTAAAGCAGAACCTAAGCCTGATGCACCTTCATCACCAATTTAATTTCCACTTTTTAAATGAAGAAAAAATATATCATTAAATAGTTAATTAGAAGGAAAAAATGAAGAAAAAATATGAAATAATAAGATTAATTAATTAATAATAAAACTCAAAGTTGTTA